AATTTATTCGTAATGGCAGTATGTATAGTAATAGATACATATTTACAGGGCAAAGTCGATTTACAAAAAAGGAATCTATTTAAAACCAAAATACAAATGTAGCCATCGTCAATTTTCAAACCTAATGTTAATCCAAAAAAAGTTCTATCTAAAATTTAAGGAATAAACTGCAATTGAAAAAAAACCTTAACTATAACACTAACACTCTAAAAAGTTATCATCTTGACTGCACTCAATTACTTTTCTAGAGGTTCCCAAATCTTTAGGTCAGAGCAATTTGCACGTGTTCAAGTAATAATTTAATACAATGTAAATTGTTAACGTGCTGCGGTTACGTCGTACCGCAGCATTTTCCAGTTTAGAAAAAGAAGCTAAAGAGGTTGGTCTAGCGGTGAACGAGGGAAAGACAAAGTACCTCCTGGTAACATATAAAGAGTCCACGCGCTACGGGACACACGTCACTGTTGGCAGATATAACTTTGAAGTAGTGAAGGACTTTGTCTACCTAGGATCCAGCATAAACACCACCAACAACGTCAGCCTGGAGATCAAGCGAAGAATAACTCTTGCCAACAGGTGCTACTTTGGGCTCGGTAGGCAATTGAAAAGCAGAGCCCTCTCTCGATGAACGAAACTCACGCTCTACAAATCTCTCATCATGCCCGTCCTTTTATATGGCGCAGAATCTTGGACGATGTCGAACAAAGATGAGAAGGCTTTCGAGAGAACTATTCTACGCAAAATCTACGGCCCTGTTTTCGTGGATGGCGGATATCAGAGAAGATGGAATGAGGAACTGTATGAGCTTTTTAACGACATGGACATAGTTAAGCGCATAAATACAGCGATTGCGTTGGCTTGGACATGTTGTACGCATGGATGACGACTCTCCGGTGAAAAGATCCTTCGACTCCGCACCCATGGGTGGAAAACGAAAGCAAGGGCGCCCACGAACGCATTGGAAGGACCAAGTGCAGAAGGACCTGTCTGCGCTCGGGATAACCAACTGGCGCAAATTCGCGCAGGAGAGAAGCAATTGGAAAAGCTTTTTGGTCTCGGCCCAAACCGACAAACGGTTGTAGTGCCAAATAAGAAGAAGAAATTGTTAACGTACATAGTTTAAAATACAAACAGAAATACATACGTATGTCCACATCACATTTAATGAGTTACAAACAATGCATTTTCTACGAATAGTCATCAGCAGCATCAGCAGCCTTCCAAGCAGTCCAAACGAAATCTTAAGATAAGCAAAAATGAATATTAAAAATATTTGCTTGGTGTTCTCTGGCCATCGCTGTTGTTACTTTTGTTTGGCATGTTTACAGGCTAACCTAATATTCGCGGCTTGCGTTTTGGTACGCACGCCGTCGAATTTGTTTTTTTGCGTCACCCGAAATTGGCTTGCGTGCGTTTGCATTTGATTTCATTGAGCGAAACGTCAAATCAAAATGTCACGCAGAACAAAAATTGGAAATTGAGTTAGCTTCATACGCACGCCGTTCAATTTCGGTTGGTCCCATATAAGTTGTATGTGCATGAGAAATTTTTGACAGAAAATTGGCGGCGTGCGTGAATATTAGGTTAGCCTGTTAGAAACGAGGTACTAGGGATGGGTAAATTCGATATTCGAATTTTGATCGAATTTAAGCTCCAAAATGGCGAATTTTTGAAATCAAACTTTGTGTTGCTGAAATTCGGATAAAATCGAATTTTTCTAGAAAAAATCGAATTGCACATTTATTTCCAAAATATCAACTCTTCAAATGTCTTTTTTCTGACTAAATTTGCCATCACTGTGTGTAGACGGAAGGCATGCTTCAAGCGTTTTGGACGTACGTACACTCCGAGGGCCAAACATCGACTCGGACCACTATCTTGTTGTAGCCAAGATACGCACCCGCCTCTGTGCAGCAAAAAATGTGCGCCCAACAATGCAAGGAAAGCTTAACGTCGAAAAGCTGCAATCACAACAGACGGCCAATTTATTCGCCACTCGACTCACACACCTGCTCTCTGAGAGCACTCTTCAACAATCCGACGTACGCGAGCAGTGGAACCACATTTCCCGATCATTAAGTACCGCCGCCGAAGAAGTAGTTGGATTTCAGCGAGCCCGAAAGAACAACTGGTACGATGAGGAATGTCAAGAAGCCGCAGAGAAAAAAGATGCCGCCTACAGGGCCACGCTGCGATCGGGCGCAACGCGAGCCATGTGGGACCGTTATAGGGAACTGAAGAAGGAAGCGAGACGTATTTGCCGCAATAAGAAGAGAGAGGCCGAAATACGTGAGTGCGAAGAGCTTGAGATGCTGGCCGACAGGAAGAACGCCCGAAAATTCTACCAGAGGGTTAGGCGACTTACGGAAGGTTTCAAGACCGGGGCGAACTCCTGTAAGAACAACAATGGCGACCTAGTGACCGATGTCCAGAATATACTTAAATTGTGGAGGGAACACTTTTATAACCTACTGAATGGTAGCAGCGCTGAAAGTAGTGAGGAAGACGAACCCGAGTCCCCAGTCGATGATGATGGAGTAGCTGTCCCACCGCCTGACTATGACGAGGTACGAATAGCGATTACGCGGCTGAAAAACAACAAAGCTGCTGGAGCTGACGGCCTGCCAGCCGAGCTATTCAAGTACGGCGGCGAGGAGCTGATGAGGTGCATGCATCAGCTCGTATGCAGAATATGGTCAGATGAACGCATGCCCGACGACTGGAATTTAAGTGTGCTCTGCCCAATCCACAAGAAAGGCGACCCCGCCATACGCGCCAACTACCGCGGAATTAGCCTTCTAAGCATAGGTTACAAGGTCTTATCGAGCGTATTGTGCGAAAGACTGAAGCCCACCGTCAGCGAGCTGATTGGACCTTATCAGTGTGGCTTTAGGCCTGGAAAATCCACCATAGATCAGGTATTCACAATACGCCAAATCTTGGAAAAGACCCGCGAGAATAGGATCGACACACACCATCTATTTGTCGATTTCAAAGCCGCTTTCGACAGCACGAAGAGAAGTTGCCTTTATGCCGCGATGTCTGAATTTGGTATCCCCGCGAAACTAATACGGCTGTGTAAAATGACGTTGAGCAATACCACCAGCTCCGTCAGAATAGGGAAGGACCTCTCCGAGCCGTTTGATACCAAACGAGGTTTCAGACAAGGGGACTCCCTTTCGTGTGATTTCTTTAATCTTATGTTGGAGAAGATAATAAGAGCCGCAGAACTGAACCGCTCAGGCACAATACTTTATAAGAGCGTACAATTGCTGGCGTATGCCGACGACATCGATATTATCGGTAAAAACAAGGGCTACGTCTGTTCTGCCTTCTCGGGATTGGATAGAGAAGCAAAGCGAATGGGTCTGGTGGTGAACGAGGACAAAACGAAGTATCTCCTGTCAGCACACAAACAGTCAGAGCATACGCGTCTTGGCACCCACGTCACTGTTGACAGTTACAAGTTTGAAAAAGTAGACGACTTCGTTTATTTGGGAACCAGCATTAACACCAATAATAATGTCAGCCTTGAAATCCAACGGAGAATCACTCTTGCCAACAAGTGCTACTTTGGGCTGAGTAGGCAATTGAGAAGTAAAGTCCTCTCTCGTCGTACAAAGATCACACTCTATAAGTCACTCATCATGCCTGTGCTGGTGTATGGCGCGGAAGCATGGACAATGAAAGCATCTGATGAGGCGGCTCTTGGAGTTTTCGAGAGAAAGATTCTGCGAAAGATTTACGGACCTTTACGCGTTGGTGATGGCGAATATCGCAGACGATTTAACGATGAGCTGTATGAGCTTTACAACGATATAGACATAGTGCAGCGAATTAAAATTCAGCGGCTCCGCTGGCTTGGCCATGTCGTTCGGATGGACAGAAACGCTCCTGCTCTGAAAATATTCAACGCGGGCCGCGATGCTGGGAACAGAGGAAGAGGAAGGCCTCCTCTGCGTTGGAAAGACCAGGTGGAGAAGGACTTGGCTTCACTTGGCATTTTCAATTGGCGTCAGTTAGCACAGAAGAGAAATGACTGGCGTGCTGTTTTGGACTCGGCCAAAATCGCTTAGGCGGTTACAGCGCCAAATAAGAAGAAGAAGAAGTGTGTGGCACTCCATTTGTCTTAGGGATGCAAGTAAAAAAATACATGTTTTTCGATCTGATGCATCGAAACAAAAAATCTGTGCCAAGAAGCAACTGTTATTTCGAACTCAATTTTGAAAAAATTTTTGTAAAAAAAACTATTTTTTTAGGTTGATTTTTTATTATAATTTTTTGGTGGCTTTTACGTTGATAGCTTGAAACTTTTGCCTAAGAAGACCCCTAGTAAAATTTTCCGGAGAATAATTTTTCTGGAATATATCAATCCTCCAACGACTTTTGCTGGGATTTCTTGAAGTCAGGGTCAAATTACCCTTTTAGGCGGGAGTTAATGGCATAAAATGTTCTACAAAAATATTTCCCATGAAATTTTATTATATATGTATGTCTTAACCTTTAATTTCGCTCAGACATTTATTTTAACCATTTTTTCGACTTTTTTGAAAACTACTTAGGCCGAGACATGAAATCTTTATTAGGCCATAAAATAAAAATACGAGCTAACTTTTGCAAATCCATCGAGTGTTTTACTACTGGATGGGTATACTTTCAGAAAATGTTAACAAAGTTCGGGCCGGTTTCGGCTATCGTACAATGTAATTTGAGTTTAACTTTTTAAACAGGTTGCCACTCTCTTCAAGCACCTCAAAAATATTTTAATTGTTGCATAGTATTTTAAGCTCAACACTTCTTTAAATAAATTCGACTTTCAAACAGGTTGGCAACCCTCCTAAATATAATTAAAAAATAAAGTTAATTCAAAACCATTTCGATTGATACCCATATCGAGGTAATTTATTTAACTTACTAAATAATTTGATTTTGATTTTCTTACATATGGCACAAAACTAAAACCATATTACACATCTACAGGGCAAGCCCTTTCATTTGACACTTACCTCCTTTTTGAAAATCTAACGAACGATACAGATTCTATGACTTAGTGTTAAATATTTAACGCAAACATCTGCGGAAGTGATTATTTGAATTTGATTTTCCAACCTGTGGCAACCCTTTACATAAAACTAAAACTATGTTGCAGACCCAACGGACAAACCTTTAATTTGACACTTCATTTTTTGAAATTTAGCGAACGATACAGATTTTATGACTTGGTTTTAAATATCTAAAGCAAACATCTCGAAACTCGATTTCACTTCAAACAAATTTTGGAAAATTCGAAAAATTTCGAATCAAATCGAATTGGCACTGCTCGAAATTCGGAAAAAATCGAATTTCAACCCACCACTACCCATCCCTACGAGGTACTGCTGTTGCTTTTGCTACTGATGCTATCAGCAGAAGCGTATGTTTCTACTTTATCTAACAACTCTTGTTGTTGACGGTGTGGTGTGGTAAAGCTGCTTGGAGATGGCTCTCTTGTAGTATATTGGCTATCAAGCACCAGAAAATTTCCATCACGCATTCCATATGCCACCGATTGTCGTGGATCAATTAAAATACTGTCAGCTTTTTAGTACTCTAGCAACTGTTGTGTCTATGGCGGAGTTATGTGGAGCTGTTGCATGACTAAAATCAATTTGGACTCTTTGAGAACTGGCTTGTTTGTTGCGAGAGGTATTGGCATCAAATGTATGCAATTAGATTTCCAAACGAGCAACTGTTGAATACAGGAAAAAATTTATATATAATTTTTTCACACACAAAGCACAAACTACCTGTCGATCCTGTCTACCATGTGGAGAGAAAGCGACGGCGCAAACTTAGTCAGTATGGCCAGTTAGTGTATAATTTTCCCGTCCATTTTGACCTGGTTCCGCTAAAGTGCACTACTACCGTGTATAAATTGGTCGACCTTCTAATAAATCAAGCGATTACAACTTAATGCTAAAGCCACCAGATTACCGTCTGGATGCCATGCCAGCTGTCGTCCCATACCTCTTCCCCCGGTGAACGTTCGCACACATTCGCCTGAAAATGTATCGCAAATTCTTAACTTGTCGTCGCCGCACGATGCAATTAACTTACCATTAGGGCTGAATTTTGCTGCGCGCACCCATTTTTGTGTCCAGTGAAAGATGTGTATTTTGAATCAGTATTTTGATGGCTGTTCGCCGTTTTTCTAATCTGCAAACGAATAAGCTGACGAAGATGCAAACAAATTCAAGCACATTGTTGCATTCTACCGTACTTTTTAAAAGCTTTAAAATCTTAAAACATATGTGAAAAACTTTTATAATCTGAATATTTCTAATGTCGAAATCAAAACGAAATTTTATAAATAGCAGTTTTAAAAAACAATCATCTAATATTTTTCAAGTTTTTGGGCATATATGTTACCATTTGAACCACAAATACTACTAAGTTGTATGAGACTATTTAATGCAACTCAGGTCAAAAAAGCACAGTTTTGACAAAAATAAGCAACTCTAAAAAACAGATGATCGCAGCTGTGGCTCAGGATGACGTCTATTGCTAAGATATCTCACTTGTATTTGTACACAATTGGGGTGTTCACAGTTCGTTCCAAATTGTGTCTGAAAATGTAGACGTCTACATTTTGAGACATCTTTAGCATCAAACTGTGAGCACCCCTTTCTAGCAGTCGTCGCAAAATCGTCTCAAAACTTTGCTGGTGTTGCCAGACATTTCCTCTTTGCGTGCATTTTTTATATATCGCCTTTCGATTTTGTTTCTGAAAAATTGTAATTATTTAACTTAATTACAAATTCCAAATATTTGTTATTTCTTTTCCTTGATTTGTTTCTTTTCATCAGAAATTGCGCTCAAATTAAATGCAAATACAAAAAACGTGCCCAATAAATAAAAAAAAATGTGATTAGTATTGCCATAATGCAACCCTGCTGCGAGGTTGCAAAATGTAGACGCGTAAAAAACATACCTTTGAGTGTGACAAAATGTAGACGGCGTCGTTTTCCAATTTTGTATGGGAAACAACAACACCACAGATTTTACGGTTAGAAAACGTCTTAAAATGTAGACGTCTACATTTTCAGACACTATTTGGAATGAACTGTGAACACCCCAAATGATTTAAGTGTACGTGTAAAAGTGCTAGACCTATCTGTCTTTCTTCATTCATGGTACTACGCAACCATGTTTTTAACCAGTGAAGGGTTGAAAAACTTCTTGCGAAAGTAGCGTTACTAGCTGGAAGTGTGACCAGAATGCGGAGAAGTTTGTTAATTTACCAAGAACTTCTGCTGCTTATTTTGGGAATGGCTTTTTGCTTTCCTTATTTGTCCATCGTTCCAACCACACTTTATACTCTCCTTCCAAATTGATACCGTATTTTTCTAACAAAAGTTCGTATCGTTTTCCAAGCGTTCGATAGCATTATTTTTTTCGTCAGGCGTATTATATTCCCCAATTTTAGATGGAAGTAATAAGTTCAAATCCAAAATGTTGAATGTCTCTTTCGGCAATCTTTATCGGAGATCGAGCAAAATATTATCCAATAGCGGTATAAATATTGCCTTTCGATAATAATCTTCAGCGTTAGACGCACGATAATTAGCCCTAAAATTTTGTCTATTCGCGAATTTGATAGAATCAGCTATTTGCGTGACGTCAACAGAAATACTTTGTTCTCGTACAGTAGTTATGATAATAGTAATAGTAAAACTTGTTTGCTCTCAAAACATGCAGAAGGACTAGCAAAAAATTGGCGTAAAATAGTTACTGCTGATTTTTACTAAGTAGCTTGGCGTGTCTTTGTTTATATTTATAAAATACGCGCTCTAGTAATATAAATTTATAAACACGGTAATGAACGGCTATGAAAATGTTTTTAATTTTTATTATATATTTCAAGTCATTAATATCTTTATGCGCATACAAATGCCTGGTTCCACAGTTGAAAGTGAAATTTCCTACATACATACGTGCACCACGGAAATAGACAAAAAGTAGTATCAGAAAGCTCGATTTGACATACATACATTCATAGTATCTACCATCTAATTACAAGCTCATTACAGGTGAACCTTTCCAAGAGGTCACCCGGGAATTAAGCAAATCTGAGACCTTTATCGTCCGTGATTCCAATAATTCAAATTATTATAAAAAGCGGGGTACCTTTTTAACAAAATAACAAGATTTTAAATTAATTCTGCTGGCAGCCACGACTTTCAAAACAGAATTTTCTACGAAATTTTCATTCCTACAAAATAACAATTTATTAGCCATATCCACCTATTCACAACGTCGCTACGCTATAAGGACACATTTTTCAAACCAGTCACAGAAGACAGGATTAAAAATGAATTACAAAAACTAAAATCGAAAAACGCTGATGTCGTAACAGGTTCTCCAAATTCTGAAACAACCAAAAGAATTGGTTCTACAAATTGGAACACGACGGTGTTTAAGCAGCGATATTGCCATGATGCTAGATTGTGAAGATGAAAGTCAGGAGGATACATCCGAAATTTGCAGCCCCGATGCAATTCTCGAATTATTAAACCGCAAAAAAAAAAACTAAAGTCCTCTCAACTGGTGCAGCGTCAATCGAAAAGTATTTACAATTTTGTAAAATCTCAAGTTTTTCAAGTTTGTCGCCTCGAGCGAGTAGTTATTTAATGGCGCAGGTTTGATTTACGACCCGTTAGGAAACAGGCTGTAACCCAAAAAGCAGCAAAATTAATCTTTCTTAAATACAATGTTCCAATTTTTTTATTTAAGTACTAAATAAAAAAATATTAAAAATTACTAAATGTTCCACTTTTTTTACCTAAATCACCTAATGTACTTTATATTTCTTAAAATACAGTGAAAGGTCGCATAGACGGACGCTCTAATAAGCGGACACATTCTTAGGAACGAACAATTTTTGGTTTTTTTTTCGTACAAAATGCTCTTGCATACACGGACTTTCCGATAAACGGACGCGGACACACAAAAATGTCCAGTTAGGAAAAAAGTATCCCATAAGCGGACGCGAAGCTCTAACAAGCGGTCAATTTTGTTTTGTTTTTTAGTCAAATGTTGACTCTTGCGCTTCTACATACATATGTACATATATGTACACAAGAACATAGCCCATATTCAAAAATATTTTCTTTTCTAGAATAGAAAGTGTTGCCTTTTCGTTGTCAATGGGCAATGAGATTTGTCGGTAGGAAAGAAAACGTGATAAATTTTAATTTATTTTTAATTCACCCTGTTTATGTCTATTGAAGAATAAATGTTATTTTAATTTAGACACCCGCAATTTCAATTTTTTAAGTATGAATTTTTATTATATTTTTTACGAAATTCCTATAAGCGGACATCTCTCATAGGCGGACAAAAAAGGTGACCATCGGTGTCCGCATATTGGAGCTTTCACTGTATTTGACATCCGCATTCGCATTCGCATCCGCGGATGTTAGCTTTTAAACATCCGCATTCGCATCCGCGGATGTCTAAAATTCCACATTCGCATCTACATACCCATTGTTTTAATTTTTCACGTTGACGAAGAGTTTTACCAGAGAACGTTTATAAATGAGAAGGCGCATTTTCTGTGTGGACTAATTGCTGCCAGAAATTTTGGGGTGCAGTCGGCCAAATATACCACTCGTCGACAAAGTGCACCACTCGACCGACGGTGTCGGCAGAGAAGTGTCGGCTGCCACCATACCAAAAATTTTTCCGTGCCACCACACTTCGAGCAAATTTACTATAGTTCAAAGCAAAATGAAAAAATAAGAACGAAAAAGGAAAGAGGAACAGAAATATAATAAGCACTAGGCAGAGGGGATGCTTGCGGAGGCAGGCGCGTGCTTGTGTCGGATCAAAACAAACTCTAAAATAAAAATGGAAGTCAGAACGACAAGTGTACAGAAGAAGCG